CCCCAGAGCGTTTAGCAGGAGATATTGCAGTAAGGAAAGCAATTTGCAGCATGAGTTCAGCTTTAATACAGAGCGCAAAAACAACAGAGAGCACAAGAAACAACGCTCTCTGCCATTTCTTTATATTGGAGTTTATTTAAACTTTAATGCATACTCTAACGACAAAGTCAATTGTGCACCCTCCACCATATGTAGTGCCTTTATTCATGGTAGTAGCAGTTTGCTACATTAAGGAGATAAAGAAAGAAAGCCAAATTGATTCTTGTGGTAAAAATTGTTATGAATCGCAATCACGATGTGTACTTGTAGCAATATTTATAAGCAGCCAAAAGTAAGAAAGAAAAAATTCTGTCATACCAATATTTTCATCTCTGACACCACTGCATTATAGTATATATAGCAGTTTTGTGAGGCACATTTCACAGCTTTTTTCTTCACGCGTCGTTCAGTATAATAATTAAAACATACCGGTTCCATGCAATACTCGTGATGTTGCATCACATATCATGCCCCATTAAAGTTTTTCGCCCTGCTTCCGCTATCCGCCGGGATGTAGGTTAGATCTGTCTTGCGAATTGTTAAACTGTCGTCAGTCATTGTTTTTAATTTCTACCCCTAGGGCAAATTTAAGATCTCGGTGGTCAATAAACATAGCTTTTCAGCTCATTCCTTCATTTCTATTGTTCTCATACGTCCTGCCACTCTTCAATGTCATTCATAAAATTTTTCTTTTATGTATTCTCACAGTTTTCAGGAGTGTATGTTATGCATGTTTTGCACCTCTCTGTGTTTTTAAATGTTATAAGGCTGTGCACCTTCCTAACCATGTTGTGCCTTATGGAGAAAAAATGCTAAATTCATTTTGTTGTTGTAACCAAGCTAACCTGGACAAAAAAAAAAACGCCAGGTCTGCATGGAAGGCGTAGCACAGTCACAGCGAAAGCTATAAGAGTGACATTTCAGAGCCTTTCCTTAACACTCATAGGGTAACTACTGCAAGCACACTTGCTGGATACCCACTCGAGCATTATTAATAAATTTTTTTGGTAGTAGGCCATCAATCGATATGCTATTTTTGGTCATTCTTTTAAGAAACACTTACAAGAAATTTTGTGCCAATTGTTCATACACTGGCTGACAACAATCAGGAACTATGGCTGAAGAGGGTATGCACCACAGTTAATAGGGGAACAACAATCAGCTTTTGTAATGGGATGGAGCATTGGACGACCCACTCCTTACGCTATGTGCATTGTGCGACGACTGGTTGTTCTTGCGCTATTTTAAAACGCTTTATAAGTCGTATTAACGCGATTCCTTTCCCGACATCAAGCCTGTCTAAGGCAAGTTTACCAACAAGTCCAAAGCACTGTTGTGCCTCAGCGGCAGAATACTGGGCTGACACTCAGTGGACTCTGGTTCGAACACCACTATGTCATTGGTACAAGTTTGTTTTAATTTCGTGCGATGTGGATACAGACACCGGCAGTGGCAGCGGCGGACAACTGCGGGTGACCACAGTTGTGATCTCATAACAGCTTTCATTCTAAAAATATAATGAACTACGCACACTTTATATGCTCAGTTAAGTACGTATAAGCACCTGACAAAAAGAAAGAAAAAAAATGACAGCCGTCCGTGTGTGCATCAGTTCGTGCGTCTACACGCCCATCCGTGCGTCCATCAGAGCATCTGTCTGTCTGTCCATTCGTCCATCTATTCAACACTCCAAGTGCCACCATCTTGCATCTTTTCATCATATATTCGCCACATAGAAGCACCGCCATCCAGCGGACATTTCAAGGACTAAACGAAAGGTGGCACATGCACACTTTCTTACGGCTCACGCTTCGTGTCTACTTCCCACCTTTAACCACCTCGAGTTCATGGTATATACAAATTCACTGTATTCATGGCACTGCGGCTCAACGCTCGCTAAACCTTTCTGAAACCAAGGAAGTTACGCCCAGCGAGTATAACGTAGAAACCCTTTCTTGTTAGATAGTGCTCAATGTACCTGCCAATGGCTGCTAATGGGAAAGGGGAGACAGGAGAATTCGGCTTTTAGTTAACGCGCACGTTGCGATTTTTTTATTGTTCAACAACGCACAGGAGAAATCTTCCACCAGCACCACCTTGCAGGCCAAAACGTAAGACTGGTTACACACTACGACTACGACTATGACTACTATAAGGGATGAACGGGTGCCGCTTTAAGGAGCTTCGCTCCTAAAATGATACCATCATGCGCTGAAGCGAACCATGCGTAGATGAGAAGCAGTGGGCGCTGACAATGACACTAGTGGCGGCGTTGACGCTGGCGCCCGTCGTGGCGTTGCGCAGGAGGGAAATCTGGGGAGACGCGAAGCACGCAATGGTGGACCAGTGTTTCCTGCTAGAACATGTAAATCTTTGATCGGCAATGAAAGACAGAATACGCTGATTAGACACATAGAACCGCCGATTGTTTCTTGTTAACGCAAACACTGCGAATTTTCGTGTTTTGACAATTCACAGAAGAAATCTCTCATTAGCACTGCCTTGGAGGTCAAAATCTAGTGCCTATATATACGGGATGGCCAGTGAATGGTCGTGCGACAGGACGAGTAGTCGTTTTTTTTTATTGCGATAGGAACTAGAGGACACTCCCGGCTTGATTTTGCCGCTGGCGTCGGCGTCACCGTCACTCACGATATATGTATACGTATATATGAAAATGCAAGACAGGAAGAAGCCCAGAAAAACAATCCAGCGCGCGGAATCGTACGTGAGATATATGTATACGTATATATGAAAATGCAAGACAGGAAGAAGCCCAGAAAAACAATCCGGCGCGCGGAATCGTATGTGAGACATTTGCGTCATGAAGGCGAGGCGTTAACCACCAGGTTACCCCGGAGCACGTACTTCACCATTCAAACGGCAAGCTATTCATATCTACCACTTACTGCTGCTCACGAGCATATCGGGGAGAATTGTGTTTTCAGCATTACCAGCAAGATAGCGCTATGAGCGCGCGTTGCCACATAGCTCGGCGGCGCCCGCTCCAACTCCTACGCATATACTTTGTCTGGTTTAGAGAAGAGAGCGATACTCCCTCGCACGCTTTTTCTCGGTTTGGCGAGGAGGGAGGTTCGTACATTTGGGCTGGGTTCGGGCTTTACCTGGAACGATTATGATGTAGTTACCGGGCGTACAAAGGTCACTGCAATCATTGCAGTCTCTATTTGGGAAATGCACGCGCTTTTCAGACACAGTGAAATAACAAATGAGACGCCTATTCGCGTGCATCTATACCTGCGAGTACGTTTCGTGCGTCACTTGCGCGTGAGAAACTCGGGGCACGTTTCTTTCAATTTGTTGCTATTGCGTTCATTGCTTTGCCTTTGCGGCAAAGCTGTGACATTTTGCAATCGAGAACCCGCTGCCAGCAGTCGGCGTTACGAGGGAAGAGGGAGGGAGCGTAAAAGAGGAGAGAGAGCAGAAAGCAATGCGCATGCATAATGGGGGGGGGGTCGTTTAGGTGCTGGAGGACTGAGGGACAAGAGACACAGCCACCGGCATTAGATGCTTTGTGTCGTCATAGCGTGATTTTCATCTGTGACACCACTGATTTGTACTATGCGAGCATACCACTGACAGGAGGTCGACGAAGAGATACCTATTCTCGGGGTTTGTCCCCGTTTGATAACAAAGGTGCGAATAAGCTTTTAGACGCGTACTCATTGGATGCATGTGGCTCAAGGTAATAGAACATCGCATGGCACAGAATTTATAATTGTCTTTTTTCAAGCCACGCAATTAAAAAGCAAATAATTCGCCCTACACTTTGCTTAATCAAGCTGTGCTATCCTTGCACATTCAGCGCTGTTGTATCCCAAGCGCTATAGAGCAGGGCTATCACCAAACGGTTGTGTATCACCATACGGTTGCCTATACACGACCATGAAAGAAGTCTACATTTCTTAATCGGCGTCAAGATTTTTGTCATATTGGACATAGGTATAGATATGCTGGCTGAACCTCGCCACTAAATATATGCTTAAGAACCGACTGCTTTATGATGTATCGAAGAGGTCCCTTAAGCGACGAAATTAGGTGACATTTGGCGCCCCCATTTTTCCTACCTATTGTCCTGGCGCTTGCGAATGTAAATTTTCATAAATTCAGACTGGTGCAAGCTGAAAACCACTCCTATATATAGTGGAACAAGGCGAAAGCTCTGACGCTAATAATGTGGGCGCCCAAAGCAGGCTGAGCATGTCTATCTCACGTGACATAATCTGTTGGAGGCACGAAAAGCCACGTAAAACAAATGTCTTTACAAGCATTCTATGTGGCGAGCCTTCATGCAGTCCTTTCGTTTTAATGGAGGACTAGAGTATTCAGGAACGTTTCCTAGCTTTAGAGCTGTTGCGATGACAGGTTATAAATTTTCTTGTAGTGCTCTGATTAATGTAACCAAATAACATCATCTGGCATTGAAAGTAATAAAGGACGCATATGAAGCCGAGGACAACGAGATTCTAACTATGTAAACGTACTTTTAGCTCGATTTGATATTAAAAAAGATATTGACTACCTGGATTACACAGTTCTTTAGTTTAGGCTTATGCATTTTTACTTTCACTCTCAATTTCTCACCTTTCTGATGTACGTTTGTAAGTGTGACCAAATGTCGCTTAAATATTGGCACTTCTACGAATATGTTGGGTTACTATACGAAAATTTTTATTAAAGAGCTGTTGTATTTTTTTCATCTTATGTTGCATAATTTTACGAAATAAATGTTGCATACCTACACATATGAAAACTATGGCTTAAAGGATTTCTTAGCTTTGTGGGAAACAAGCAGGTTTTGCGAAAAGTATATTCAGCGTACTTATAAAATAATGAGGTGTCCGCTTACTTTAGATTCTAACGTGTCATGTTGTGAATTGACAATCCGAAAATTAAGCCTGTCACACATTCAATAGCCAAAGCAAGTCGGTCACGCTCACCCGTTCACCGTAGGGTATTTTGTTAATCTTCCAAAAAAACTCGAAAGTGACGGTAACGATGGCGCCTCCGCAGCCGAATACCAGCGCCAGGAACACGCCACCCACGTTCGAGAGGCCCATCTCGCTCGTCGCCGAAGCGGCTTTCTCCATGGGACAGGCGTCCTTGCCTTTGACGCGCCACCAGCGACGTTTCAGCATTTCCAGCTCTCCTCTTTCTTGCAGCCGGATTATGTACGAGGACAGCACAGAGCGCACTGGAGAGCCTGCGAAAACAGCCTACGGGTCAAGGCGCCAAGCACAAAGCTCATTGCAAGTAGGAATAGATTGAGACAGCTCAACCATTCAACAGAGATTGAATGCAGAAAATTTTCACAAGCCGACTTGTTGCGGTGGCGATTATTTGAATATGTTTAGCGGACATTTGCTGCAACTAGGCAAAGTTAGCCACATTTGAAGCCGACACAAGTTATATTTTACCCATTCTAATAGACAAGATCGCCGTGTGGGAAGGAGGGGTGGTGGTAGCAAGTAAGTATGACTGTTGAATTAACTTTGCTTAGTGACACTCACTGCTACATGCAGTGAATTCAGGGCCGGTTCATGTATTTCACCATAAATGGGCTACGATAGTGAATTAAAAAACGTAGGCGATAAAGGAAAATAAAGGTTATGATAGATAAATAGTTGTTGATTTATCACAATAAGCTTTAATTTCAGCTTAGCACTCGTCTGATTTTTTTTGTTCTTTCTAGTGTCGATGTTAGATTGTGCTCCTTGTACAAGTATCGAAACCAACAAACTCGCCCAAATTTTAGTTCCATCTTTAACGTGTTTATCAACGGAGATGCGGTGCAACACTGAAGGTCCTTGTGAAGGTTGAGCAGAATGTGCTAGACATCACTAAAAAACTGACATTTGCCATGCTGAGCATCCTTTGCTGCGTGGAATATAGAGTGCACGTACCAGGTGGCGTTGCGATGCCGTATCCCTTATTGTCTAGCAGCCCTCCGATGGCCGTGAGATTGCAGTCCCGCTCCACCTCGTACTCAATGGACGAGAACTCCATGAGGTAGGCGTAGTTACCTCGCTTCACCCTCTCCACGCCTTTTTTGTTGCTCTTGGTGAAGGCCGATGGTCTCACCGCGTTCATGGTCGTCCACATCCGCTTGATCAGCGGATTGTCCGAGTTCTGCGCCCAAATCAGAGCAGTTGCGTGTGAGAATTTTCCGCAGTTTCGAACCTCCACCTGCTCATGAACCTCGGCCCTTTTTCGATTTCACTTATACATAGTCATTGATATGTTTACTGAATTGTCAGTATTCTCTTGTGTGAAAAAAGAAGCCACACATCTTCACAAAGTGGTTACATCTCCCCGAAGCTAGGTCCCATGGTACATATTGTCTACGTTGAAGTCACCGACTAGTATAAGGGATGGATAGGTGGATGAACGCACGAAAGCACAGATGGACAGGTGACAGACCCATGGATGCACGGATGGGTGGACATACTGTTATTACGAATCACCAGAAGACGCACTGAAACGAGCGTAATGGTACACTGCACAGGCCGATTTTTTCGGCCCGAGCCCGGCCCAGCCCGAAAACTTCATGCCCCGGCCAGCCATAGCCCGGCCCGGTCCGGTGTTTTTAGGTACGGTTCACACCCGGCCCGGCCCCAATGGTTTGGGCCTGGCCTGGCTCGCCCCGGCTTGTTTCAGCCAGTTATGCCTTCAACAAAAGCGAGACACTGTTCACACTTCGGTTACTGTGAAAATACTTGTATCACACGAGATACATGCGTATTCTAGTGAGTGTTTTTGAACTTCTTTCAGTGTCACGGCTTTCACTGATATATTCTGTATACTTGGGTAATTAGCTCTATAATAATTTTGTGCAATATTTGAAGGGTAATTTAAAATAAATTGTATAGTCATAGCTGGCTGTTTCATGTAGGCAGTGCTAACCAATCTGATTTTTGTATTTGAAAGAACTGTTATGAAATATAGTACCTTCCAAAAGTGAACAATATAGAATAAACTTATAGTATGAGCTTACATAAAATTCATACGAGCTTGCGAACTTTTTAACTCATCGGCCCACCTAACTTTTTGTCCCCCCTTCGTGCGTTTGCTTTCTCTGGAATTTTAATTAGTTACTCTTAATGCCCAACGCTTACCCTGCCTATGTGCTACGTGCCCGGCCCATGTGTATTTGTTCTTCTTTCTTTTAACTATGATATCCTCCACCCTGGTTTGTTCCCTGGTTTACTCTGCTATATTCTTGCTAGTTAAAGTTACACCTATTATTTTTCTTTGTATCGTTCGCTGCGTCATCCTCAATTTAAGCAGAACCCTCTTTGTAAGGCTCCAGGTTTTTGCTCCGTAGGTAAGTCCCGGGAAAATTCCGCTGTTACATACATTCCTCTTGGGGGTTAGAGGCAGATTACCATTTATGATTTGAGCATGCTTGCCGAATAGGATCCACCCCATCTTCATTATTGTAGTTATTTGACTCTCGTGGTTCGGCTACGCGGTTACTACCTGTCCTAAGTAGACATATTCGTTTACAACTTCTAGCGTATCTCCACCTATCGCAAAGTGCTGTTTTCTGCCGAGACTGTTGCACATTACTTTAGTTTTGTGCAAATGCGCAAAAGGAAGTCAGAAAATTAAAAGGGCCAATGAGATTGAAATGTTCGCAGGTACAACGTGGCAGCAGAAAGCACAATACTGGGTTGATTGGCAGATCATGGGAAAGGCATCTGCCCTGCAATGGGCGTAGCCAGGCTGATGACGATGATGATGATGCATATGAGCCGGGGCTGTTGAGTAGAAGTAACAGGTCTCCTGTAAACATCATTTATGCGGCCATGCAATAAAAATAACCCACTCTGGCTATTTCTGGGAGGAATGCACCAGGCTGGGTAGGGTTACATAAATCAAAGCTGCCGTTTTGACTCCTCAACGTCTCCAACATACACAATATTTTCGCGCTGAAAACAAGGTTATTTTTCCCACTCTTTTTCGTCAAGTCACCGCCACCACAGTTCCATATATCTGTGAAAGCAAGCCACACCCATTAGCAAGTGAGCCATCGTCCTCACTGTTTCTTAAAGATGTCTATCTCGTCGTCTTCTTGTGATGGTCTTCGATCATTGAAAGTGTCATTGAAAATGTATCTTTGTGGGAAAATGTTTGTGGAGCCTTTACTGGCACTCAGCGCAGTGACATCCACAACTTAGCATGCATTCGAACAGTCCAAAAACAACCAAGCCTCGGCTTACTACGCTTCTTCGTCTCTTCAGTCTATTCCACACGCAATTTTCTATAACTTCAGCTCCAACACTTTCACTAGCCTTTCCTTATTATTCTCCGAATGCAGCCTTTTACAGTCCGAATCATCTTTACACAAATCCTGCTCACGAAGAATAGCGTTCAGCTACAATTTCATGTGATTTGCACGAGTGCAGAGAAGTCCTAAAATAATGTCTTAAAAACCTCGACTTCAGTTCACTAATATCTGTCTTGAACCTTACTTTCTTATTTGAATATAAAACTCTGCGCGATAAAAGGACAGAAAGCCTTCAAAGATGCGCTAACCTCAATGCCACTTCACATATACTACTCTAACTGGCACACTTTTATTGATAACAATACAACCTTTGACGGTAGAGTCCCTTACCGCAGAACTAGGTACTCCACTGTTGACGCTGTTTACATGAAGCAGCTTCAACCAGGACACACTGTCTTTTGGAAAAATGTTGCAGCTGGTGAGGGAGCATTAAGTCAAAATCATGTGAATTCATCACAATCACTGCGCACTGGTTTAACACGTGGGTGTCGTATTTGCGACCAGAACCACTCACATTGCTCAGTGGGTGCGCCATTGATTCCACAATGACGACGACGTCGATGTATGTCAATAAATAGAGGTGTGCGTCATGCTGACATCGCGGCAGCCGTCCAGGCCAATTGCCGTCTTCTTGAACTGACGCGTTGTGGAAGGGAGAGTTGACACCAAGAGTGTACTTGGAAGACAACTGCGTCCACGAATAGTTTACCTCCTGCAATATAGACTTCGTGAAGTTTATTCGTTTGTGAACATTCAATAATTTTGCTGAACATTAAAGAAACGGCAACAGCTTCTATCTGCACTAAAGTGTTGTCATGTTGACTCCGAAACGTAATGTGAACAACCTTCACACATTGAATAAGCTGAGGTCATTGATGTCTATACGCGCATGTAACGAAATCCCTCCCCCGAACAGAAGTAAGCTTGAGCTTCCTGTAAACGTCTTCTCGTAGGGACTCTCTGACTCCTGTTGTCCAAAACACCATCTACGTCACGAAAATGCGTCGGTACCTTCAGTTGAGTGCGCAAAGTCCGAAGAAAAACGTCAGAGGCTCGACAGTGCAGGAGTCATGCCGTTCGTAGCGACATAGAAAGCCAAACCAATGCATGGTGGCGCTGAGACTCTGGAAAGGCAGTGCCATCTTTGGCAGAAAAGTAGAAGTCGGGGATGTATACGCGCGTTTGCCCTTCCCTCCAATGAGCTGCCGCTCGTTTACGTGCTCGTGCAGAGAGCGCACGCTGTGTTTGTCACCTCACTATGTACCACCACCTGGAGTGCGGCTTCATAAAGATCTCTGAGCTAGCCAAGGACTTTTGAGAAACGAATCTAAGAAAAGAAGTAAAGCTTGTTAGTCACGTTTATTATGTGGAGCAGACAACGGAAGACAAGGACGCCCGAATCACTGCGAATTGCATTTCTCGGGTTCTCCGCGATAATAACGTGTACGATGTATGCCTCAAGGCAAGTCTCGTTCTGCCGAAGCCAGGTACTCTATCGATGTGCTGTGTTGACGTTCATCGAAACCATATAATTGTTATTTTGATGTGGTATCTAGATATCTAGCAGTAGCAGCCGTTTACTGTCATGTGCAAATGCTTTCGGTGTGCTAAAAATTATTAATAACTAAAGTTATACAGTCATGGCATTAAAATGTCCGAAAAGCTTTAGAGTCATGTACTCCGTGCCGTGGGCGCAAGGACCGATGACGTCACCGTGACGCAGCAAGCTGAAGTTTAACCACAGCGAGTCAAGTTGAAGTGCTCGCCTTATTTTTTTTTTGGCTTTTGTTTCATGCTTGCTCTATCTTTCACCAACGCGGCTGTGACTTGCTGCGAAACTGCTACAGCTTTACAGGTGGAGAGCGTCCCTTAGTGTTGCCTGCATTATTGTGGCAGCACACAACACAACAATGCTGCGGACCTCACCGACACTTCCGTGGGGACGCTTCTTTCATGGCGAGAAGGCAATTTCGCACAGCTAGCGTCTCACTTTACCGCGCCAAGCTGACAGTGCGGCACCACAAGTTCCCCGCACCCACAGCAGAACGCGTTGCGCGCGTGTCGCACGTTCTCCCGTTTCGGCGAAACACACTGACTCGCCTGCGACTTGTCCCGCGTCTCTCCTAAAGTTTTCCGAAGCTCTCCACCAGGCCTAGGCGCGGGGTTGTCGTCACAACGCAAACTTGAACTTCCTTTCCCTATACATAACAGCGTCAGAAGCCCTTTCGCCTTCTGCAAGTATGTTTTCAGTTGCCCCGGTGGTACACAATGTAGATGCATGATGTTTGCATACTTTGCAGTGTACTCTGTGGCGGCAGTCTCGTGCCAGGTGTCCTTTGGTGGTACACTTGTAGCAACGACCATCCGCTGGGAGCATACTGCGTTTTCTTGTTATGCTGAAGTGGCTAGTACGTTCTTCAGTAGTATATTCAGGTATGACGCCCGAAAAATTCCAGACGTACAGGACAATTGCCCTACCGTGAACTTCGAAGCCGGAGGCTTGTGCATTATCTGAGTAGTATCACTACGATTGTTCACGAGACCTGGAGTCGAGATCTGCGCGCTGCTCTCGCAATAATACACTTCGATTTGAAGAAATTGAACCAGACGACTCCTCTTCTCTTGTGAAAACCGGGTACAGCTGACTTTCATTGAGACTGAGCATAGTCCCGGTCTCTCCCATTTGTAGTAGTCAACTACAACACCTGCGGAAAAGATGTTCAGCGGTACCTAGTTTAGCATGGAAGAGTATAATGTAGCGCTCACTCTAAGACTCGCGAGCCCCTCTCATTGAATTGAACATCGTCATACAACTTCCGCAAGGCTCCCAACTCGCTTGACGAGACCGACCAGGTCTCAGGGTGTGTGGAGTTGTTCGACATGTTCCTGCTCACTACACTTCACATTCCCAAACCGCTCTTTTCTTGTCTCAAGTGCGTTGCGGTACAATGAATCCATGGCTTGTATATGCCGGCAATGGCTTGAGCTGCGGCTCCGTCAAGTAGCGAGACCACATAGTGGAACCAATCTACGTGAGACAAGCTCGTGATAACGTGAACGAAGTGGCGGAAAATGCCCCAAAACAGCTGCCACTAAGTTAAGCTACCAACAAAGTGCAAGTGCTAGGGTTTTGGCAACGGTGTGCCTAACTCACGTCGTGGTCATGGCGTGTTCATTGCTGAGGTCGTTGGCGGGTCCCCATCAGCGGTTGTAGGTGGGTGCACCATCGAAGGGAGTGTGGCAATTTTGAGCCTGTTCATGTGATGCTCGAGCAGGGCCAAAGGGTTGGTAGCAGCGTCTTCATATTACACGACAGAAACCTTGTCTGTCAGAAAAGTTTACAGCTCGGCGTTCAGAACGGCTCACTCTGCCTGGGCCGTGTTTATTTCACTATATAAAACGTGAACTGTCGAAACGTTCAACTGTGTAGACAGCATTAGCTCATTAATCTTATTGACGATTCTCGTACTCTGGGCTCCACGAGATACCCAATTTCTCTTGGCACGCTCCCTGACCGTTTGGCAGCATATAGCTTGGCAGGAAGAACAGTGCGGGGAGATGAAGGCTGGCTTCCCAATTCTTCGGCACCAAAACGATGTCCTAAAATCTCTCTGGAGCCTTTACTGACATTCAGTTCAGTGCCACCCACAAGATGGCGAACATGCGAACAGTCGAAGAACAAAGAAGTCTCTGTTCCACTACACACATAATCCTGTCCCGCCAAATGTTCTAGATATGCTCAAGAAATAGTCAATTATCCGCCTAGTTTACTGCAATAGCCAGAATGTAACTGGTACTTGATTAAAAATGCACCCTTCTTCTCTTCAATTTGTGTCGCGCGCAATTGTCTACAGCCTTAAAGCAAGATCGGACTCGGCGTCTCCAAAATAACTGGGCCATTCAAGTGCCAAAATGAACCATGCCGGTGGCTTTTTCAGTACGCGCCGTCGAACGTGGCGTATCGGGTGTACAGAGCGCGATCCAGTGCAGTGACCAGAAAATAGGAGAGTGGGTTGCCTAGTCACTAATAGCTGAAGGCCTCGGTGCGAACAGGGGAGCGAAGTGAGGCTGTGGTGGCAGGTTTTCAGCTCGCAGCAGCGGCAATGTAAGAGAAGGAGATGTATAGCAAGAAAAAGTGAAGGGTAAACAAGAAGCCGCATGTCTTCCAGAGATACTTCGACGAGCCAAGCGGCACGCATTATTGCAACTTCTAACAAACGTGTGGGGCGCAGTATAAGTGGCACCCTCAGGTCCCTAATGAAGCAGCTATGGAGCTTGCAAAACTATGCGACGCAAGCAGGTTGCTCATATGCAGACACCAAGGAAAGATGAGCTGAGCACGTGCAACCTGCACAAGATAATATTTTTATGATTGTAGAGTCTTGTATCTCCAGTTTTTATGCGTGTTACTTATCCCGTAATATTCAAAAACGACAGAAATTAGAGAAATCTTAAGATATGAAAAATTCCTCTTCTCCGGGTGCCGCAGGATCCGTTGGACATGTTTGCGGTAAGAGGTGCCGTATACGCTTGCCTATACACCTTCCCCCACGCCTACCCACTCCCCTATTTCAAAAAGTACAGCAGCAAATCAACATCGTAATAATGACCTGTCTTATATAGAGCCCTTACTTCTCCTGCGCAAGTGTTTCCACGTTTTTAAGCGTCACGAGAACACTTGCATTCTGACAAATGAGGACGTTGATGATTCACCATGAAAATACGAAATACTCTAAAGTGGCCGCAAAAGTAACCAACATGTGTTCTATGCGATGGGCATTCCAGCTAAACACTAAACATTTTTGGCTGATTGCCAACTACTAAATATTTGCGATTGCCTTGCTAACACAAAAAACAAAAACTCACACCATATCCACGAAGTGAATGATGATGAGTGGGGCGAAGCTTCGAAGAGTTTTATCGGCAAACCATGAATCATCCACTGGCCGCGTCCATCCATCTGTCTGTCTGTCCATCTGTTTGTCCATCCGCTCGTCCACCTGTCTCTCTGTATGTATCTATGTATGTGCATCCATCCGTTTCTGTGTCTGTCCGTCCGTCTAATCGCATTGTCGTATGCCTGGCTGTCCATCCACCCGTCTGTCCGTCCATATATCTAGTGAACACTTCAAGTACCGTCATAATGCATATTTTCATCATATGATTCATTATACACAAGTACTGCTGCCAAGTGGACATTCGAAGGAGTAAAACGAGAGGTGGCTACAAACATACAGAAGATGCACGACCAACGCCTTAAGGAGCTTCGCCCTAGAAATCGGCAATGCATCAATGGGCCCACCTGTGACAAGTGCGCACTCCACATCTCCCACTTAATGAACATCAACAACTGCTCCGGAGATATTCATGGATCACGAGTCGCGTTGGCGAGTCTACAAAGCAGGCAGGCACAAAAAGGAGTGACGGGCATGCGAGCGTATCTGCATACCCGAAGCGTTTCCCTTGATACAAGTGCGCACATATTATATACCCTATATAACATTAACAGTGCATCGTTGCTCTTGCAGCAGTATCACTTAGTAAACATTTCCTTACGGTATGAAAGAGCGTCTTTCACTCAATATAATGATGGAAACTTATATTACGAGTTTCTTGCTAAATAGAGTGGCATAACGACGAAGCAAAGTGCTAGACGTCTTGTACTTTCCAATTTCAGTGAACGCTAAAATACTCCGGGCAGTCTTAATTAGTAGGAGCCCTCAACTACGGCATTGTACATAACCTAGCTGGGTCGCTCCGAGATGTTAAGCACCAAAAAACAACAGAACCAAACAGCGTAGACGTGCCAACATGTCGATATGCAGGGTGTTTCAAGAAATGTGTCCACTACAATTGAAGTATTAGAGAAAGGAGGCATCTGCTTCATACCTGCGGTGCTTCTTGGCCTTGTATAGAAACAATAATTATGGCAGTAACCATAGGAATAAAAAATTTTTAGCCAATGAAACTAACCAGTCTAGTCAAGGTGGCCAAATTCACCTCTTTTTAAAATACAGCTCTTCCTACAAATAACTTTTCGAATCACCTGGTAGTGATTAAATCTGGCTAATTTAGCTGGTTGAAACCGAAACCCGCACACTAAAAAGTGCATTTACCATTCATTTGGTAAATGCTCTCAAATAAAAGTTAACGGTTTTATATTTTGTAAAAGGTACTTGCTAAATTTTTTATTACTTTCGTAATTATGGTCTGTATGCATCTGAAGATGTGCCGACGTAAAAGAAACGTCGCCGGTAGCACGCAGGTGCCTTCTTTGGGTAATTTTAAAGGAGCATGGTAAGCCCCATACATGCCATGTATTTTAGGCAAAGTTTACATACCCTTTTCTCTGCAACTATAAGAGTTACAATAAATATTTTACAATCATTGTGACCGTGAGCCATTCCTCTTCTCACTAAAGCAGATTTACTAGTGCAAAGTATATAGCTCACGTTTGATAATTTTTTTTACTTCAGGTGCCTAATCATCGATCGTTAGTAAATATTACACGTCGTTTTGAAGAATAGCACTTCCTCACACAAATGTACTTTTGCTTCGGCACCATCCTTGTTTCATTATCTAAATACTGGCCGAAATTTACGTTTCTAGACACAGTGGTTGCTCAGATAAAGGAACAAAGTACAAAAATAATGTTTTGAGATAATCGCGTTTAAAGTATAACATGTGCCATATTTAAAACGCATAGCGAGATAACAGCAAATCGACGGAGCCGTCAAATAGACACCGGGCAGGTGCTTAACACTAATATCTTTTTTTTCTGTGTTATTGTGTTGAAACATCATCAAGAGTGCATTCCAAGATAATTTAACGATTTGTAAGGGTTTCGAGTTTTTCCCCAGAGGCTTCTAGCGAGTAATTTATGACAAAATAGTTCAAAATTTTTTTAATTAACAGCTCAATCATAGATGCTGGTAGCTCTTTTTTGTAAACGAATGGTTCACCTTTCAACTAGGTTTGTTAAATTTACACTCAAATTAGGTTGATTGATTGATTTGTGGGGTTTAACGTCCCAAAACCACCATTTGATTTTGAGAGACGCCGTAGTGGAGGGCTCCGAAAATTTTGACCACCTGGTGTTCTTCAACGTGCACCCAAATCTGAGTACACGGGCCTCCAAAATTTCCGCCTCCATCGGAAATGCAGCCGCCACAGCCGGGAATCGAACCCCCGACCTGCGGGTCAGCAGCCAAGTACCTTAGCCACTAGACCACCGCGGCGGGGACACCAAAATTAGGTGTCCGTCGAGCAAAGGCCATGGGGATGAATTGCTATCCTTTTATGTCATGTGCAAATATGAATACTGGATAGCTTTTCACGTGTCCTCCAAGCTGACTCTATTTCTTGGATCGAGCCTGGTCTGGGCTAAATCCAACAATGCCTTACCAGGCCCCGCGGGGCCCGCGGGCCGGCCGGCCCTGGCAGTGCTTTAACTAAATAGCACGATGCGATAACGAACAATAAAAGCATACAAGCCAATAATATACACTAACCTCAAAGAAACGGTATGTCGACCCGCCGTCAAGACACCCGTAAGCAATCTTTGTCTGCTTGGCGAGGTCATTGGCATTCTCAATGGGTGCTGTCATCCGCTGCGCCGTCAAGAAGGCCGCCAGGTTCGCCGTGTATGACGAGACCATGATGAGTGAGAAGCACCCCCACATGCTTGAGGCGATGCGAGTTGATGTCGCACTGAAAGGATGCGAGAAGTGAGAATGTCGGTACGTCGTAGTAAGGTGTTCATTATTAAAGCATTCACACAAAAACAATCGAATTTCATCTTTATTGGAATCTGCCAGCATTTATTGAAGCGCTTAATGAAAACACCCGAGAGTTGTTTTTTTTTATTCAGTAGCCGTCAAAAATAAGTTGCGGACAGCAAGACAATTGTGGCCACCTATTCCTGCCCACATTTAGGCGTAGCTGCAGATCTCGGCGCAAGGCGTGGCACAGAAACTCGCCCCTCCCGTTTTGACTAGCGGGTAATGTGGCACGACGGCGCGAAGTCACGTGTTAGGGGTATCGTCTAACTGCCATCGCATCATTGCACACTTTGACGCTTTGACACTGTAATGATATGTGGCTTGTGTGTTACTAATATGAGTTCAAATTTCTTACAAAAAATTGGAGATTTTTTTTACTAAATTGGGTTTGAATGAAATTTTCATATAGTTACAGCAAAAAAGACAGGTACACCCACTAGTTCTCACCATTTATTTAGGACAGCATCAGCAAGCCAAAGGCAATAATAGTCCTTATCGGCCGAATGAAGTCTTTAACAGCCATCATTTTTGAACAGCTAGTCAACATGTACCAAGGCGAGAGAGTATTATACCAGTAAAGAGAATAGCTTTAGGCACGAAGTGACACTTTTCTGTCTTCGGTACTTGCTCATGATTTCACTAAGAATGTATAAAGTGCTGGGCAACACGAATTGAAGCAGTAGAAGAGATTTTTTTTCTAAAATTGAGCACGAGAAAAAGTTGAGGTAGTGAGTAGAGATTCATGACAAAAATTGTAGTCCTTCAGACAAGGACATGCGAGATCAGGACTACACTGCGTTCGCGGTGTCTTGATTTCAATAGAAAAATATATAACACCCGCATCTTTCCGCTGCTTACGTACACGAAGCAGACAACAGGAGACTTACAAAACTGGCTTATTCAGGATGAAGCAGCCGGCAATTGAAAGAAAAATGAAAGGTATAACCAAACATAAAAGAGAGCAGAGTGTTTTGGGGAACAAACGAGTATTAAGGGCAATAGGAAAAAAATTAAGCATGAAGAAATCATGTAGCCGGCAGGCAGAACAAGTGGTGATCAATAAGAGTAAGGGACCAGATTCGTCGTGGAGGCAATCGCGCGTGGGAACAATAGAAAGTTATGGGGGAAGACAAGACATATTCGCGGGTATAACATGGGTTGGCCTGAAGTGGGCCCAGTCAGACTGATGACGATTTTTCTTGAGTCCATGTTAGCACTTAATCTCCATTTTATCATTTCTTTGAAAAAAAAAGCCACTCGCAATGAATTTGAGACGGCTGTAGGTCTTTCTTACATGGGTACGAACTCCGATCCCTGCTGCATGATGGCTCCCGTTGTCAACCAGAAGCTATTGGGCAGGCTGAACTGGCTCTGCAGTTCTCCCTCCTCTGGAACGCACGGGTGGGGCGCCACCCACTCGTAGGGCGTGAAGCGGCCCATGATGAATATGAGGAGCGAGACGGCCAGGTAGGCGGTCAACATGTACAGCCACACATCAACGGAGAAGGGGTACAGGAAGGAAAAGAGCGAAGGGTCACTCTTCTCCGGTTTCTTGAAGAGGATGCTGATGCCCGTGCTCATGAAGGGAATGGTAAAGTCCACTGCGGACTCCCGCTCGTACGTAATGGTCAGGTCCACGATGGCGGCATCTGCCTTCTGTGCTTTGTAGATTTTTACACAAAGGTTGTAAGCATTCAGTACTTGGACAAGTACTAATATACAAGAACAGGTTTTCAACAGAAACTCTTCCCAATAAAAATTATCACGAACCCTCATACCACAGACTTGTAAGTATGATAGTAGAACTCACACATAGGGATTCTTGTACCGTACTGCATTCCCTAGCTGGGTTATTGGTGTTTTGTCCCATTGCCCATGCGGATCTATGAGGCTAAGCAGAAAGTAGGATAATGCTGATGTCCGCTCCATGAGATGCATGAAAAGTCCTAAGTGCTAAGAAAAAAATTCTTCGCTCTTTTAATAAACCCCTTGAAATATTTTAATTTATTATCCTGAAAATTATTTGGCTGATTCTTTAGGTGAAATCATGCTTTTAGGTATCATATTATTACACATAACTGTTAACTTGAATCTGAAGTATCGATATCGTTTTCATCTATTTAGACTTTTCTGGATATTAGGTGAACCTGAAGCAAAAACTCAATCTAAACGACTTTAAATAGAAATAATAGCGTCATGGGGCTAAACGACTTTAAATAGAAATAATAGCGTCATGGGGCACTCGTGCTGCTAACGGAGACGTTAACAGCATCAGCAAGTTGCCATCATAAGGAGTGGTTTTATGACATGTCTGCCCGCCGACAGAGTTCGGCCCACCAGGCTGGCTAATAAAGTCTGCATTTTAAGTGATCGACTTCCAATACAGTAACACTATATAGCACTACTTACAACACTATACAACTCGATCACTTACAAGGGTATATGAAATAAAATACTTATGTAAACACCGCGTGATCTATTTAGAGTGATCCGAACAAAACTCCTGACTACGCCAATGTCTCTGGTTGTCAGAATTTTTTGGCGGGCGATGCTAACAATGCTTATACTGGCCGTGATTGTTCGGGGTGCAGTTTTTATGTTTTAACACAAGGTCTGAGTTACTGAACGTACCTCAAAGCCACGTCTCAAAGAAGGTACTTAGCAGTTGTTGAAGGATTTATGTGATTACCGCGGGCCATTTTACGAAATCGATATCTTGGTAGCACGAGTGTCTAGAATCGGCGTTTTAAAAGCTGAAACCATCGCTGTTTTTTTTTGTGCCAAACTTTGAGAATAGCGGTATGTATTGTTCATTTTCACTGATTTTATCACTGAATGCGAAAAAAAAAAGGTGAGTGAGTGCATCTTTCCGCCTTAAAAAAAAAAAACGAGTCTCCGTGCACGCACAAATCGTTGCAACGCGGTACAATAGAGGGTAGCATTTTTTGGTGAGTATGTCGGTAGGATCATAGATATTTAGTGTGCAGGTTTGTTCACCGTTATGCGTCATTCGTGTTGAACATATTTTCTTGTTGCTGCCAGTATGCGGGCACACTAAAACACTTGGCGTGCGAGAGCGTCAGCTTTTTCATGTAGTTAAATATCTGTGTGAGATATGTTCCACTGAAATGTGCTCTCAAAGCCCTGCCGCATGAGTACTTTCATCGCCGTAAGCGATCACCATCCTACGGATCGTGAAAGCGATTGGTAGGACGCTGCATATGTATTATAGGAGTATTTTTGTAGTGAACGGAATACAAACCACGTACAAATCAATAAGTATTTAAATAGTCATTCAACCATTTGCAGGATACTCTTGATACTCTCCCAATATCCCATTTGGGTCAAATGTAAAGAAGCTTATACAAAGGAATACTAACATGACTCTAAACCCACAATATGATTAGTTACGCAAACTTAAGTAAGCTTGTGAAGGGCAGCAATTGAATGATGCGAGGTATTTTGTATGGTTTTTTATACAGCAGCAACTAGAGCACTCTGTTCACAAATTTGTCTCTGTATTTTAATGAAAACTGATACGTAAATATTTAAACATGTTTGACGGAACACCGCGCATACAGCTAATAGATAAATCAGTTAGCACAAACTGGACGTACGCACTAAGAGCAAGTATCATCAAGAACGAGTCAAAGAAACGCAACTCTTGCTTGCGCTGCTAATTATATAAAATTGTGCAAAATATCACACTTCTGAAACTGAATGCAGCTGTATTTCATATCTCCAGTTATTCCAAGTTGACAATAGCTGCTGACTGGTGCTATGCCGTTCAAGCATGGTAATTTCCTAGCATAATCAAGCTTATCACATGGAAAGAAAGAAGAAACGTCAACATTCCAGCAAGCAACACGTACATATCGACGAAAAATGAAGTTTCTATATATACCAGCTGCATAATAAAGCGCTGTGTCTTCAAAAAAAAAAAAAAGAAAGATCCAACAAAACCACTTATCTCGTGATATCACTTTTATCACTCATCTCGTGATAAAAATTGTGGATTGTTCAATCACGTGTTAAAAACAGTTTTTAAACCAAAAACAAATTTCCAGGGTCAATGAAGCGCCAATACCTTCGCATAAGGTACGGATCTAGGTATCATGTTGACTTATCGATTAAAGCAACAAACATGTTCCAAAACTCTTCCGACTGTTTATCTTTCTGGAGTTTTCACGTCGGTGCTAATCATTTAGGCATCGTTAAATAAATACTGCATACTTCAAGTACGTACTATTCTAATGAATACTGAATCCTTTGAACGCATTCGATTCGTTATTTGAAGATTCAGAAACTCGCCCCGTACTGCTAACCATTCTACGGTATTGCTCGAGATGATAGGTTTACACTTCTTTAAGTATTGTCCCACATGAACAGCAAATTGCTGAAAGGAAGACATTAACCATTGTAGCTGGTGGAAGCAAAAGGGGGAGTGCCTTTGCAGCAAGGCAGGAATGCTGGAAGTGTTCTATAGTCACGTATTCTGTAAGTACCAACAAAAACAGCCTACTTGCAGACATTGTTATAGCGATTGCAATGTACTTGTATAGGGCTCACCGATAGCAGGTTTTGAATTATTAACTTATATATCTTAAAAGTTTGTTAGGCTTAGAAAATGAATAATCGTAACTTTTACAAGATGGGTGTAACATGCATGCTCTTATCTGCAATTTCCTTATTTTGTGCACTGTTTACTTCTACTTGTAGGCATAGTAAATTTGTGCGATCAGAGCATCAATCAGGTCTCTGCTCTATAAATTACTTGAAGACCCAATTTTCCTTATTCTTGTTGAAGGTTCTACACACAAAAAAAAACACAAAAGTTGACTCATTTTTTGTCGCTTTTGCAGGTGCATACCCTGTCCAGCAGTTCTCGTATCATTCCGTTCCACTCATTGTTTGCCTGCGGTTTTCCATAGGCACCATCAGGAGTGAGGTAGAACTCGTACTTGAATCCGATTTCCTTGGCGAGCAGCTTAATGAGGTCGATGCAGTAGCCGTAGAAGCGATCGTTTCCGGTCATATTGCTTCCCTCTGGATGTAGCATCGTATACGGCCGACTCTGTAGAAGCCGGAATACACAAACGAAAACGATTATAATGTGATATCGTTCGAGCTCAGTGAGGTAACAGTGCTCTATAATGATTTTGCGGCGCACACATGAAGACCGAGGACACAGGATAAGTATGGAAGTGCTTGTTTCTTTCTTTGTCTTATATGCTACCTAATTGTGTGCGTGTGCTGCGCTTCCAGAATACACTTTGCAATAGGCTCAACATCAGTGGACATCGCACTTGTCTTACAGCTGTGCATGCATTCACAATACTACCACGATCCCGAGGTAATGAACACGAGCAATCGCATCCACTCATCGAGCACCATAAAAACGGTGCACTCCACCTGCGAGAGGATGGGCACATGCACCAGGATTTTTGGGTGTTGGGCTTACAGAAACGGTCCGTAAATGCTTGTGCACGCATATTCCGAAAATGTCACACAGTACAATCACAGATATTTCTCTTTAGATCAGCAAGAAAAGTGAATAATGCTTCCAAGGGAGGGAAATCAGACGATATGAGCTGTCTTGCGTATTATTTGTCGGTGTTTTTGGTGTGTGTTGTTTCAACAGCCACTATTCTTCGCAGATGTGTCGCTTCTCTACGATGAAACCATGTCTAGTCTCAGTACAACATTGAATGCATACCGTCTAGTCTCAGTCCAACATTGAAAGCATTTCGCCTTTTCTGCATGGAACAAGCAGGTATTGTGAGCGCATTTGCCGACTATTATTTGTCATCTGGACATATCACTATCATTTCTACAACTTCCACATCTGCAGATATCATCATCAACGTGCGTGAGCCAGAGGTCAACTCGAAGAAAGCCGTGTCTCACAGTAAAAGTATCCCTAGTGTTCGCTCAGATAAACACTAAATTCTTGCTGAAACAAAGTACGAATGCCATGCAAAGTCCAGGCACGAGCACAAAAAGCGATTAAGTGAAAAAAAAATCGGCAGATCTCACGTACCTGAGAATCGACGTTATGCGAAGCGTGCTGAGAAAAGGTGACCATGTTGCAAATATTTTTATTGAGCGACACGTCACGTAATGATGCTAAATATATGTACAAATGTTGCACGCACAGAGATATGTTGAAGAGTTGCAGATGTTTATATAGCCAGCTGTTTGCACTTGCGCAACGCTAAAACATAGGTATTAGCAACACCAGAAGCTGATATGAAGTGCTGATGTTCGCGAAGTTACTGGCTCTGGACACTGCTACATAAATCAACTTCAGCGCATGCAACTAACCGCAATTGTCGTTAACCCGATGTCATGGTTGTATCAAAGGAGAGCATATGTAATGTTTATAAAATTGAGTAGGCAGCACTGTAACCACTATTGACGTGTCACGAAGATAAGCATCTCTTTGAAAAGTAGTTCCGAGACCTGGCGTAGTTTTGTGGTAAAATGATTCATTGCCACGCAGAATCCTTGGGTTCGATTCCAGCTGGGACTCTGATATTTATTCTTTGCATTCGTCGGGTTGACGCTACCGATGTCGGGTATTTCTTAACGATAGCGCTTTGAAATTGCCCATGTGTGTTCTCGTAGTTTCTGGGTAGGTACTAAGTTTCAGTCGCCTGTGGTGCATACGCACCTATCAGTGGCACATACCCGATCATGGGTACGTGCCACTCACTGTCTGATGGGAAGTGTTGGACGACATAGGTCATAGGATTGTGGCATTATTCATGTCTTGACCAGCGCATAATCAAACCATCTTACCCTCCCATGCTAATTTTGGTTCACGCCAAGTTAAAGGGCCCCAAAACACTTTTTTGAGTAACCATGGAACCTTTTTTGAGTACACCTTTTTTGAGTAACCTTTTTTGAGTACACTGGACAGGCATGTTTTCTAACACATTGAGCATCGCAAAAATTTTAAGAAGCCGTCCAGTACGAGCGGAGTTACTAAGATTTGAGACACGGTGCAATCACATTCTGTCTTCTCTGGTCCTAACGAAGGCACTGGAAGGTGAGCAGGGAGGGATGGGAAGGGCAAACAAAAAACAAAACTCGCACTTCGTGACCTTGAGCATTTTCCCTTCTTTTTTTTCTTCGAATACGCGGCTTTTTCAGTGCGATCGTGCGTGCACGCGTGAACCGGTAACGGCCTCTCATCTCACGGCGACCTCTTTAACAACCGAGCGTCCCATGTTCAAATCAGCCAACGGCTGATAGATGGGCTTACTGGGCTGAATTCCGTAGTTTGTCGAGAGATGAGAAAGCTATTTTTAGCTGACTTTGATAATTCATTGTGATTTTCACGCCGCGTGCTGCGCTATAATATTTGGCTGCGTATGGTCGGGAGCCTCTACTACTGATAGGCAGTGTTTTCTGACCATGCTCAAGAAGTGTGGCAGGGCCCCTTTAAGGGGGTGCCACGAGAAAACCCAAAGGTAAGCGGTTATATATATATATATATATATATATATATATATATATTGTCGCGGTACAACGCGAATAAAACACAGATACACCTTGGGACGACGAAAGCAGCGTGTGCTCAACAGCTGAGCCACAAGATCAACTTCTTCGGCCTCGAGAGAAGCTAGAGGCCCACTACCTCGTGCCCACTAAATGTCCCATCATCGTTATCGTCCACATGTAGACACGCGTCATTTGCCTCTCTCTCAAAGAGCATCGCCCTGATGCGCTGTCTGTAATGCAGTTTTTTTTTTCTAAAGTAAAGTATCACGCAATCACTCGCTGATGTAAGGTTTCATGCGGACTACGTGAACGAGTTCAGGATGGTGCTGGCGACGCCTTGTACTATACGAACAGTCGGGAACAACTTCGTAAGTGGCATCGCTCAGTCGTCGCACAACTAGGTACGATCCAAAATATCTTCTTGAGAGTTTTTCCGAAAGTCGTCATTTTCGTACGGGTGTCCAAACCCATACTTTGTCGCCAGCTTGGTAGACGACTGTTCTGCGGTGAGCATTGTAGCGGCCTGCATTGTAGTCTTGCTGCTGGCTAATCCGTAAACGTGCAAGTTGCCTAGCTTCTTCTGCGCGTTCCGTAAACGTGTCGGCGTCCGAGATGATGTCGTCGCTTTCGTGCAGTAATATTGCATCTAACATGGTTCGTACTTCCCGTCTATGAACGAGGCTGAAAGGTGTGATGCGGGTCATTTCTTGCTTGGCCGTGTTGTATGCAAACGTTATGTAAGGCAAGATTGTCTCCCAATTTTTGTGTTCGACGTCTATGTACATCGAAAGCATGTCTTCAATGGTTTTGTTTAGACGCTCTGTCAGCCCGTTCGTTTGCGGGTGGTATGCGGTGGTCTTACGATGCGTTGTTCCACTCAGCATCAAAACATGGTCCAAAAGAGCTGCTGTAAATGCGGTTCCTCTGTTTGTGATTACGACGGTTGGTGCACCATGCCTCAGTACAATATTCTCGATAAAAAATCTTGCCACCTTCGCTGCTGTACCTCTCTGAATAGCCTCTGTCTCGGCATAACGAGTCAAATAATCCGTCGCTACGATAACCCATCGGTTGCCTGCAGTAGAAGTGGGGAGTGGGCCCGAAATGTCCATGCCAATCTGGTGGAACGAAGTCATTCAAACTTCCGACTAAACAGCGACTAAACACTCAGATGCCAGCAGGACCTGTGCGGGTTGCAGGAGGCCAGCTGGTTTAGTTGGCGGTGACTTGCGTCGCTGGCAGTCGAGACAGGTACGAACGTGGTGCTTCACGGCTGTGGTTAGTCTTGGCCAGTAATACCTTTGCTGTACCCTGGCCAACGTTCTTGTGTAACCCAAGTGGCCAGAGGTAACCTCGTCGTGGCATGCTTTCAGTACTTCGGTGCGAAGGGCTGCTGGGACGACGAGTAGATAGGCAGATCCCGCCGACGAAAAATTTTTTTAAAGAGTACTCCGCCGCTTAAACAAAATGATGACAACGCTCTTGCAAAAACTCTTGGCAGCTTCCGAGATCAGCCATCCAGGTAGGTAATTAAGCCAAGCAACTCAGCGTCGTCTCGTTGTTGCTGCGGAATGGTGGTCGTGTCGAGGACACCGAGAAATGATGTTTCCTCCTCCTCGGGTAGGGTTGCCGACTCAATGGGTGAACAGGACAAACAGTCGGCGTCCATATATCGCTTCCCTGACTTATGTACGACTGCCATATCGAATTCCTGCAGCCTGAGACTCCAACGCGCTAATCGGCCGGTAGGGTCTTTAAGATTAGTTAACCAACACAGTGAGTGCTGGTCGCTAATTACTTTGAAGGAGCGGCCATATAAATACGGACGAAATTTCGTAACCGCCCATACCACGGCGAGACATTCCTTCTCAGTCGTGGAGTAATTAGCCTCAGCGCGTGTTAACGTTCAGCTTGCGTAAGTGATTACCCTTTCTGTGCCCTCTTGCTGCTGCACAAGCACAGCTCCCAGACCAACATTGCTAGCATCGGTGTGAAGCATCGTATGGGCCCTCTCGTCGAAGTGGGCAAGGACTGGGGGTGTTTGTAGTCGCTGGCGAAGATCATTAAAAGCAGCTTCCTCTTCATTATTCCACTCACAGATGACGTGTTCTCTCGTGAGGCGAGTTAGCGGTGATGCTATGCGTGCGAAGTCCGCGATAAATCGTCGATAATATGCGCAGATGCCGAGAAAGCGTCTGACAGCCTTTTTATCGGTCGGCATAGGGAACTGTTCTACGGCTGCGATTTTTTCAGGATCGGGACGAACACCAGCACGACTGACGACATGACCAAGAAATCGCAGCTCTTCGTAGCAAAAGTGGCACTTCTCAGGCTTCAACGTCAGGCCCGCGGGCTTTATGGCTCGTAAGACCACCTCAAGTCTTTCAAGGTGCTCGTCAAATGTCGCGGAAAAACACTATGACGTCGTCTAGATATACTAAGCATGTTTTCCACTTCAACCCAGAAATCACGGTGTCCATGAGTCTTTGAAAAATAGCAGGGGCTGAGCAAAAACCGAATGGCAAGACCTTAAATTCCTATAATCCATCTGGTGTCACAAAAGCGGTCTTCTCGCGGTCTCTCGGGTCCACCTCGATTTGCCAATATCCACTCCGCAAGTCCATTGAAGAGAAGTATCGAGCATGTCGAAGTCTGTCGAGAGAGTCGTCTATACGCGGTAGTGGATATACGTCTTTCTTGGTCACCTGATTTAGCTTCCGGTAATCCACACAGAAGCGCAGGCTGCTGTCCTTTTTCTTCACGAGGACTACAGCGAGGCCCAGGGGCTCTGTGAAGGCTGAATGACGTCATCTTCAAGCATTCTGTCTACCTGCTGTTGTATCGCTTCACGTTCTTTTGGAGCCACGCGATAAGGGTTCTGGTGAATAGGTTTCGCCGTTTCCTCGGTAATTATTCGATGCCTGGTTAGAGGCGTGCGGCCAACTCTTGATGTTGTTGAAAAGCAGTCTTGAAATTTGGCCAGTAGCTCAAGGAGTCTGCGTCGGTCGTCTTTCGGCAAAGTAGTGCTAACGTCCAGAACAGGCGCTGAATCAGGATTTAGCTACTCGTCGACTACTGCCAAGCAGCCTTCGGCATCTACGACATCGTCGAAGTAAGCGACAGCCGTGCCTTTAGGAAGGTGCCGGCGCTCAGCACTAAAATTGGTCAGCAGCAAGTCCGTGTGTCCAGCAGCAACTCTGATGATACCTCGTGCGACAGAAATACCGTGGGTGAAGAGCAGCGAGCTTATTCGGTCTGCAACTCCTTCGGCGTCAAACTGAGCAGCGGGGGCCACAGAAACAAGCGTGCATGACCTCGGAGGGAGAACCACATCATCATCAGTAAAACGCAGTTGGTTTGGTCGCGCCTCTGGAGAATTGGGTAAGCCCGAACTGTTGCAAAACGTAATCAAGCTCTCTGGTATGTTGATGACGGCACCATATTCCCGTAAAAAGTCCATGCCAAGGATTACGTCTCTGCAGCATGCGGGGATAACGACGAACGACGCAGTGAAAGGAGAACCTCCGATGTCAATTCTTGCGGTACATCTTCCCGAGGGCATCAATAACTGGCCTCCCGCTGTTCTTATATGAGGGCCCGTCCACGGCATCTTCGCTTTTCTGAGGCTGTTGGCGAGGTCCTGACTGATAATGGAAAAGTCAGCACCAGTGTCGACTAAAGCTGTTACTTTCTGGGCCGTCAAGAAGAACACTAACGTCAGCAGTAACAATTTCATCGTTTTCACGGCTTATCGGCTGTATGACATCATGCAGTGGGGGCTTCTTGTCGTCATCTTTATGGCCTGCAACCTTGCCCCCGGAGGTCGCCGCTCTCAGTTTCCCCGTTGCGGGCTAGGTGACCTTCTTGTATTAACGTCCGCGTAGGTGCGGCGGTGCGACAAAGGCGAACGCGCGGGGGGCGGTGAGCGGGATCGACGTCTCGGACCAGGAGGCTTAGCAGGCATTGCCTCCTCTACAGTGGTAGAGCCGCCCTGAAAGTGAGAACGGCTCCATAGAAAGAGGTGTCGTCACGGCGCGGAGTGTATTCGTCGTTGGCACGTCGACCGTCAAACCAAGGTCGATGAGGGCGGAATGAATCACTCCGATGCCAGCAATGACGGGCAATATGTCCTGCACCTCCGCAGTGAAAGCATAGTGGCCACAAAGCATAGTGGACGTCTGTCCACTGTGCGCGCTGCATCTGTTTTCCGGGTTGGTCGACGCGTCGATGCCCATGGGGTGGCTGTGGACGGCTGGTTGTGTGGCTGTAGCGTGGGCGGTTGATGCGGTGTCTGCTCTTGCGGCGGATACGAAGGGGCCATCGGCACCTGGTGGTACAGCGTCGGCATAGCGGGTGTTGGACGTCGGAGAGCGGCAGCGTAGCTCATAGGACGCTGCTGAGCATCAGGACTAGCCGTAGACAACGCTTGGTGGATTTCGTCGCGTACGCCTTCGGCGATCGACGCGATGGGATTTTCAGCAACCAGACTGCGCAACCTCTGCATTTCTTCGCGAAGTATCTCCCTAATCAACTCTCACAAGAAGGTCTGATTCTCAGATGTCATGACGTTAGCGTTGATTGGGACATTGCAGGACATGCGGTCATATTGCCTGCAGCGTTGATGAAGCGCCCGCTCGATAGCCGTAGCTTCCTTAATAAAGTCAACCACGGTACTTGGAGGGTTGCGCAGTAGCCCGGCGAAAAGCTGTTCCTTGACACCGCGCATGAGGTAACTCAACTTTTTGTCTTCCGTCATGTGCGGGTTAGCTCGTTGAAAGAGACGAGTCATGTCCTCAGCAAACATTGCAACGGTTTCGTTGGGTTTTTGAATCCGTAGCTCCAATAACTGCTGCGCACGGTCCCTTCTATCGATAATGACAAAGGTATCGACGAACTTCTGTCGAAAGTCAGGCCAAGCTGACAGATTGCCTTCTCTATTCTCATACCAAGTACGAGCACCGTCGTCAAGGTAGAAATAGGCACGTGAAAGCTTTTCCTGTTCCGACCACTGATTTACCTTGGTAACATGCTCGTAGTGGTCCAGCCAGTCGTGAACGTCTTCATGGGCACCGCCACTAAAGCGATCGATATATATATATATATATATATATATATATGGATAGATAGATACGCTCAAAGTCGCTCAAGTTCGCTAAGAAATGCTTTGCATTTAAAAGGCTTGCAGTAATGCGACACACCGACATCCTCCAATAGAATAGGGAAGGGAGGCTTTTGGGAAACAAACAACACGACAATGCTGTTTCTCTTTTGGGCAAGCATAAAACTGAGAACGGTCACAGCACAGAGGAAAAAGAAAGAAAGTGCCACAGAACTAATTAAATCTGTGACGAAGTCTACCCTTTTCAAAAAGTACAAAACAAGAAATTTTTCGTCTTTGAGAATAGTAAGTTGTAATTTCTTTCAAATAAATTCTCTTGAGAAAATTGTGGTGTATGCGTAATACCAGCCATGACCGAGACTTAATTCCATTCCTCTTGATGCAGCAATAATTCCCGAAATGAGAACGAATTCACACTCTCGCGTACAATGCAATTACATTTGGTGAACCACTACAAGGAACTAAATACAAAAGCTCCTGTGATATTCGGCAAGCAGTACACTGTGAAATGTTATCAAACAAGTTCATTTTTACAAACAGTTATCAGTTTCGCAAACAACATCGAAATTGTCTACGTAATTACACATGAAAGTTCGACTATATGCTTTGTGCAAGCAATAAAAATGAAGTGTAGAGGTGTGCTTGAAAGCTCCATCTGAATGGGGCGACATCAACTCAAGAAAGTGTTCTGGGATCTCTTGACCCATTCACTTCAAATGCTCATCGCAGCATACATTCGAATAATGTTTTTGCAATGAATCTTTACTGTACAACAAACAGAAAAACTTTTAGCGCTCACCTCAACCGTGGTAACTCGCAGGGTCAAGCCTTCGAGCTTGTCTGTAAACTCTTTTTCGGCAACTTGTGTGTAGTTGACGAAGTAGGCGAGACCATTCACTGGATGCCATGTGGCTACCTTAAACGGTAAAAATGGGAAGATAAAGCAAAATTATAAACAATGGCAATCGACAGTGATGTTTCATATATTACAATTAAGTAACCGCGTTGCTCCCCCTTTCCGCCCCCCATGTACACCTAACTCATTGCCATATAAATGGTTTGAAACAACCATGGTGCATTTACCATCTAGTTCTTATTGCTTAATTACTCCCGCTGAGGATCGAACCTCATTAGCAGCGGCCACATTTGATGAGGACGGGATGCTAGAGGCCCATGTGCGAATTCGAAAAACCCCAAGTGGTCCGAATTTCTGGAGGACTTCACTACAGCGCCCATCAAAACTATACTTTTGTTTTTGGAGCTGGAATTTGGATAATTATTATTATAAATGATTTCAGCTGCCAATTATAAAGAATATTGATTTATTCCTAAATATACGCTAAAATATTACGTCAAGCATACTTTCACGTTTATTGGATCACTTATAATATAGAGTGGCTGACGTTGTCGAACACAGAAGGGAAGGATGTTGCACTGAATCAATTGCCTACTTAACCACAGCTTTTCAAAGGCTTAATATATACAAAGAGCAAGAATAAATGTTGGGGCCACATTATAGCGCTCAGCATTTTCCCGATGCTATCAGCAAATTGGCCTCCCTTAGGCAAACAAAAAACTACAGCATATCCATGAGGTGAATGATTATAAGTGGGGCGAAGGAGATGTACAGTCGGACGCACGTACGAACAGGACGGACACGCAAACGGACGCATGGATGGACGGACGTATGGAAGCAATGATGTATGAACGCATGGACCGATGGATGTATGTATGGACGCATGGAAGCACGAAAGCACTGACGCACACATGGACGGACGCATGCATGGACAGACGGCACGAAAGGATAGACGGAGGGATTAGACGGATGCATGGAAACACGAAAAAACTGATGCACGAACGCACGGACGGAAACACGGATGGATGGACGGACGGGTGGTGGACGAACCCACAGATGGACGCTTCTCCCCACTCAGCATCATTTCCCCCATAGATATGCTGTGACACCGTTTTTAATGACATGCAATGCATTGCCATTGGCTACTACGACTACGATGACTAGGATTGATATATGTGGGCTTTGACGTCCCAAAACCACCATTTGATTATGAGAGACAGAAGGGAGTCGACCAATGGAACACACGCGCTTCCTCTGTAGCAAATGGCAGGCTCAGAATGGAACGCAATGCACGCGTCTTTTTGCATGAGAGGGCAAGCTGGCCACAGCGACGCTACGCTATCAAAACGTGAGCTGCAACGCGACGCGCACCTGACATGACCAGCATTCGATGGCGTGCCCAAAGTTGCCACCGTTTCAAGAGCTTTCAAGGCACAGGGCGCTTGAACTTACGGTCGAATCAGCCGATATTTAGGGACGGAGCTCCTTATAGCGGCACCGTTCGTCCCTCGTAGCCGTTGTAGTGTAACAAGTATATCATTTTGACCTCCAAGGTGGTGCCGGTGAGAGATTTCTTCTGTGTGTTGTTGAACAATAAAAGATAGAGCTCAATGTACATGCCGATGGCTGCTAAGGGGGAATGAGGGACAGCAGCATTCGGCTTTTAGCTAACGCACACACTGCGATCCCCATTAGCAGCCATCGGCATGTACATTGAGCACTATCTGACAAAAAAGGGTTGCTACGTTATACTCGCTGGGCGTAACCTCCTTGGTTTTAGTAGGGTTTAGCGAGCGTTGGGCCGCAGTGCCATGAATACAGTGAACTAGTATATACCATGAACTCGAGGTGGTTAAAGGTGGGAAGTAGACCCGAAGCACAAGCCGTAAGAAAGTGTGCGTGTGTCACCACTCGTTAAGTCCTTGGAATGTCCGCTGGATGGCGGTGCTTCTATATGGGGAATATATGATGATGCGAGATGGTGGTACTTGGAGTGTTGAATAGATGGACGAAGAGACACACAAACAGATCCATGAATGGACACATGAACGGACACAGGGGCGGATGCATAGACGAACCTAGGGACGGACGCACGAACGGGTGGATGGATGCATGGACGGTCACACAGACGGATGCATGGACGGACGGACGCAAGAACGAATGGACGGACGAATGCTTCGCCCCACTCCACTCCAGCATATCCATTCACTCCATGGATATGCTGCCATTTTTTTCGGAGTAGAAAAAGTTGCTCCGTACTGTACACCAAATTACACTCATATAGGTGTAATATAGCGTCTATAACTGACACCCATACACCCCACGAAATGGGCGTAACAAGCAGGACTACACCTATACCATGGGCAGGTTTCCTAATTTACACCCTAGGGTACGAACATTTTTTGGGGGTGTAAAAGCAAATGTACACCGAAGTGCCCATAAGGGAGTGAGGGTGTAAAAGCAAAAGTACACCCAAGTAATCTTAAGGGCATCAGGGTGTAATCTTGCTATGATACCCTAACACCCTTAAACATGATTGATTGATTGATTGATTTGTGGAGTTTAACGTCCCAAAACCACCATATGATTATGAGAGACGCCGTAGTGGAGGGCTCCGGAAATTTCGACCACCTGGGGTTCTTTAACGTGCACCCAAATCTGAGCACACGGGCCTACAACATTTCCGCCTCCATCGGAAATGCAGCCGCCGCAGCCGGGATTCGAACCCGCGACCTGCGGGTCAGCAGCCGAGCACCTTAGCCACTAGACCACCGCGGCGGGGCTAACACCCTTAAACAACAAAAGTAGTTGTAGGGGTGTAATTCACTCAAACAGCAAAAAGGATGTGGGGGTGTTCATGCAGAATTATGCCCGAACACCTATGCGAAAAATACCATCATTCGAGTGTTACCCCTTTCCAGTAGGCCCCCGTGGAAGCACAAGAAAGCCTACCCTTTAGCGAAACCTTTCATGCGCAAATGTCCTATTGTAGTGGCTCCTGCAACAGTGTGATAATCCTGGCCCTAGCACTGCTCTTATGGTGCATATATGAAGCACAGCATATAAGGCTCTCACATATAACATGTAATCCTAGCTGAACGCAAAGACATCACTCAAAATGATTTGTCGCACATAACACAACATTCACAAAGTCATCCCATAGCGCAAAATGAAATCAAGCTTTATTTCATTAGACATAGAGCACATACAGGCTTCAGAGACAAATTGTAGCTTAATCAAAAACCTTTTTCAATTGTGCAGAGCAGAATGCCGTCTGCTACAAGAGAAGACCGAAAATCAGACGTCAATGGTATCACATGTAGCTCTAACGACCAAGACATGCATATTAAAGTAAAACAGAAGAGCCTTTATTTGCACTTAAATGAACTAATTTTAACATGCTTCAATGCAACACAAAAGTACGGTGCAGTGAAGCATACAAACAGCAGGAAGAGTAGTGCAATGCAGCATGCCGTATTTCTCCAATATATTGAAATATATCAAAGCGCACTGCAATTGTCACATTGATACGCCACAGTTTGCATGTGTTGTGGCATGCCTTATCCATAATATGCAAGGCTAGTGGTATTCTAATGAATGTAACGAAAAAATAGTCTTAAATGGCATTTTCATTTCAGAATAACCTTTGGGTGTTCAGACATTCAGAATACTGGAGAAACCATATTACAGGAGCGAAAACAATAGGCAAAATTACAATGGCTTAACAGTGTCCCTAGATACTAATCATGCAGAATACTTGATTTAAAGATGTAAACTATTAAGCGCATCGCATAATAACATGTTGACCTAAAACAATGCAACATCAAAGAACATAAATGGACACACAAACGCGGGGTGAAAGAGTAACCACTTACAGCTAGCAGAGGTGGAACAGCCAAGCTAAGATCTGGAACAATATTTTGGAGCATCATATCTTGCTTTTCCAAGAAGAAAATTTTAATTTTGAGCAGGTTTCAGGAAAAACAAATGCAGCATTCTTGAGCCAGTAAATTTCATATTTACAGCATTGATTGATATGTGAAATTTAAGGTTCCAAAACTACCATGTGGTTATGAGAAACGCTGTAGTGGAGGGCTCCGGAAATTTCGACCACCTGGGGTTCTTTAACGAGCCCCCAAAACTGAGCACACGAGCCTACAACGTTTTTACCTTCATCAGAAATGCAGCCAGCGCAGCCACGATTCGATCCCGCGACCTGGGGGTCAGCAGCCGAGTACCTTAGCCACTAGACCACCACGGCGGGGCTCCAAATTTACAGTTGTACAACAAATTAGACTGAATCACACAAAAAGAAAAATATATGTAGAAATTATTTGACATCCACTAATTTATTCAAACTTCACGAGAGTGCAGCAATTTCAATAAAAGCAGTCTCTTGAACTGTCCCACAGTGCAAACAATGCTAACCCCCGTATTCACGAACGCTCCTCGACTCGAATCTCGTCCTTCACTTCAACTAGCCTGCATAGCGCCTCCACTTGTCTAAAAATGACGCTGCGTTTCTGGAAAATCGCTGCAGATTATCCCTGATATTGGGCGACTTGCTCTGTCTGGAGACGGCGCTGCAATCAATTTTCTCAAGTCAAGGTGAAGCATTTAGTGAAGGGACGTTTTAAAATACGGGGGTAAAACTCACAGTAGCATTTGCCGAGCTCATCAAACTGTTTGACAGGCGACCTAGAAATTCGAGATATTCGTAAAGGAGAAGCTCAAGGGGGTGGCGAAAAGAAAGTGGCGTACGATTTTCTTTATCATCGCTTAAGACCGCAAAACCCTCATAAATCACTCTGAAAGATGGCCAGCACTCATACTAGTACTCGTCATTAAATGGGATCTGCATGCTAGAGTAATAGAGGGAAAAAATAATTTGTGTCCTGTGACACTGAGTATTAGTAGCCACTTCCAACTCATAAAGCACTTTTCCGCAGAGCACTTGTGTACTGTGGCAAAAGCAACTTAAAAAGCATTATGGACGTCATCGAAAGGGGTGCAGAACTTTCTTTTAAACAGCTCTACTCTTTTCTTTTGCTGTGAGGTTA